TGAATGAAATATTTTTACAAGTTTTCGTTAATTACATTAGAAAAAAAATTTAAGGTAATTCGATTTTATTCGGTTAAGGTATAAAAATTAAGATCAAAGTTTATTGTATTATTAATATTAAAATTATGCATTGTTTCTCTTCTATTTATAGAGTTTCTTCCTAAAATACTTTCTTAAATATGACATGATTTTTTGGCTTCTGAGGCATCTTTTAAATCGAAACATAAGGCAATTTATAATTAATGCTCTATTCGGTTCATTTTAAATTAGAGAATTATTAGAAATTAGCGAAATATTTTAAATAGTACTTAACTTTCTCTGCATATTTCTGAAAGGGAATAAAATAAGGATTTTATTTTTAATTAACCCAAATAAGTAAAACCCAAATAACCCAACTTGATTATTTTTCAGATATATAAAATTAAAACGATGAGTTTAAAATGAGCAGCAGTAAAGCCTCTCCTCTAAAAAATTTTAAAAGGTACATGTTACAATAATATATGGATGTGAAAAAAATTTATTTTATTTAAAACATTTTGGCGTTTGGAACATAAAATAAAAGTAGCGAATACTCTATCAAGAGTATCGAAAGACGTATACAATTTTAAAAGTACCGTAAGGTATTTTTCATTCTTTAAGGATAACATTTTTGTTAAAATCTATATTTTTGTAGTTCAACAGCTTAGAATTTTATAAAACAAATTCATAATCAAATCGCTGTTGTTAGTTATCGAAAAATAACCAAGATGTGATTTTGCGTAAATGTCACTAAACTATACAAATCCATCACACTATGAATGTTTCTTTCATGCGAAAGTGTCCCTTTTTCGATTTGTATGGAACTGTCGTGTGTCGAAATACTATCAGAACACTCTCAAGCTAGCTTCTGAATGTAAACAAAAAACACCCCTTCTGGTGACCGAAGCTTCGAAGCAGTGCTTCACTTTTAGTGCCGGTTGGCCACTCCTTCCTTTCTTACCTCCATGCTGACATCACGTCATTATTGCATCAAAATTCTCCTGGGTCTTTTTTCCATCGGGCAGTTGTCCAGACTTTCTGTTCGTGGATGATAATGCCTGATTGCACAGGACAGGTAAAGTGTTTGATACATTTTCAGAGGAAATTATTGAGTGCATGACACGGTTTGCATATTTATCTGACACAGATCCCAAAAAACACACCTGATATGCATTGTGAAAATATACATTGTTACGGATTTTGTATTTATTTAGCTATTTTTAGTAGAATTTTTAATTAAAATTGTTTTATATTCCCGTGCAACACAGCACGAGACTTATTTGAAGAGGAGGCTACGCAGGAAAAGTTAAAATACAGGAGCACGCTCATTTAACATTTTAATAAATAGATATCTCGTAATTGTACTTTTTTGCTATCAAGAAAAATCGTGAAAATACCAGAATGTTATCGTGCAGGATTAAAAAGCTTATAAAAGCCGAAGAAAAACATCTCAATTCAGTTCTCTACTTAGTGCTATTATTGATTGTAGCGAATTCGCGGTGAGATCAGATTAGCTTTCTCAGTGTTTTTGAATTGAGTTCTATTTATATTTTAGTAGTTCAAAATATAACTACTGTGAGGTATCGCGATATTGTACGAATTTTCAGCATCTGAGGAAATTTCAGCATTTTGTTTTATTTCTTGGGTTAAGAATAAATTTTATTAACTTTTTATACACTTGCGCATTCAATCCATCACGAACCCATACGCACGCAACAATACGCTCAAAGAGTGAACCTTCTCCGAACCGTGCAGGAACTGATAATGACACTGAGAGATAAATGGGTCAAGATCTCCCAAACTTTCATTAACAGTTTAGCGGACAATATGCGTAACAGCTGCCTAAAGTGTATCAGCTCCAATGAGATCACCCTCCATATTGACGATCTCATATCTGTCCTTATTTTGAGATGAACGAGCATTTTTTGTAACTATTAAGTATAGTTGTGAGGAGCATAATTTTTCCCGTTATTTGTTTTCCCACATAGTATATAGCTATTTGTATAAAAATGATTTGTATAAATAACTATACTTCAGGACCTCTATAAAACATGTGCTTAGTCTAATTTTTTAAACCTCTCTGTCATTAGTTATGATAAAAAATGACTCGGTTGCTTAGCAATTGCCAAGCATTGTAGCTAATTAATTAATGCTCTTTATAAAAAATTCTTCATGAGCAGATACGAAAAGACATTCCACTCAGAGAGTTTATTCGGCAGTAAAAATTTAGTTTCATAAGTTTATAATTATAGATGCTATCATTATTAAAAAGAAAAGCGAAATATTTGCCAAATTTTCCTCTTGTCTAATTACATGTGTATAAGATAAATAATATGTAAGATAAAATCTGATTGAATGAAAAAATTTGTAATAGCTGTTTAAGTGTTCTTTTTAATTTAGTTATTTCCTCTTACTATCCTAAAAATAGTAATATGTTTATAATAAATACTTTCTGAGCTGCCTCAATTCAAAATTAACCCTGTCATATGTTTTTATAGTATAATGTTCATCATGCATGTCATTACGGCAGAAGTGATCTCTGATCGACTGTTTTTAAATATTTTATGACTTTGCTATTAAATTAAATTTTTATTGCCTAGTTCCGAGGAATATGATATTTAACAAATAAAGTTAACGCGCGAAACGTTAAAAATAAAAACACAGAAAAGAACTTTTGCAAACCACCTTACTAAGAAAACTGAACTTTAATATGATGAAAAAAATAGAAAAATGTATACCAACACTGAACACAGCATCGTTAATTCTAAACATATGCTACTATGTTGCTTCCAAAATTTGCGTAATTTTGCTGCTGAATTGTATATGACATAAGTACAATGAAAGTTATGCTTAAGCTAAGACAAAAAAAAAAGTGGGTTAGTGGGTTAGAGGAGTGAGTGCAGCAGCAAACTGATAGACCGCTACCCCAGCGAGAACGTAAAAAACCTTAACAAAACCTTTAAGCGACCGTTAGCTTAAGTCAAACCGGTGATATTTCTTCGATAGGGTATTGGCAAAAAAATTTTGTGGTAAAGTGGTAGATATTTAAGGATTTTTAGTCAACTTGATTTATCTTGCAGTCTTTTAGAAAACAGCATTTTCAAGATTTGGACTGATTCTTCTCTAGAATATTCTAGAAATACTTTCCCTTATCAACTTGCCATTTGGCGAGATTTTAATTCGAAGCTATTGTAATTTCCCCAATCAATTTAGTGTAACATTGTCGTAGACTATAACTTGCATGGATTTAAATAATTAATGATTTGATTAGCCTTTGATAAGTGAACGTGTACTGTTCCGCACTACTTTAAGTATCAACTAGTAGAACCACAAAGACAAAGAGAATATATTACCCTGTCTTACCTTTACAGAAAAGTAAATACAAATTCAGTTGAAGGTTATTTGCTTGTCAGTCTGATAGTTACACAAGCTATTCAGTAACACAAAAATAAAAACCACTTGCGAGAAAATTTTGAACAAATGCTCAAGTCAAATTTAAATATTAAATACAAAAGTTATAAGCGCTTCAATTATAAGGTATTTCTCTCGCTTTCCTAAAGTGCCTCCGTGATGTAGTAGTTCTGCACGCTGGTCCGGTATTTCAGAGGTCCGTGGTTCAATTCCCGGCAAAGGCGGTTGCTAATTTTTCCTCTCTCCGGCCTTTCCAAATAACCTAATGTCTCTACACAATAAGCAATACCTCAAGTCTCACTAATTTATTATCAACTGCGGCTAGGGAAGCTAAATCTCACAATCAAATCAGTAGCAGGTAGAAGTAATCAAGTGATTGATCAAAGAAGGCTGCCAAAGGCTGTTTCTCTGTAATTCAAATATTCTGCGCTTAAATACATCAACTAATATGCATCCTGGGCTTAACTGAGGCGAGTGTAGCAGCCTCCCAGCAGAAACCTATCATCGTCAAACTAAAAGAAACTTCAAGCTTCAACCAGAAGAAATTTTTGTCTATTAGGAATACAGAGTGCCATACACGCTATAGCCTTCTCAACGAATAGATCCCCAATAATCCATAAAATCCTCAACAGTGTCTCTAACACAACCAACCAGCATTTCATAATATCATGGATCAAAGCTCACGTTGGTAGCAAGCGTAATATAAAAGTGGATGCCCTAAAAGAAGGAGCTAAAGGTATGCAACGAAACTAACCGTTCCATGGCCAAGCTCCCAACTGAACATATAACTCCAAAATACAAGTACATTTCAAAAAACATGGCAGCACTTGTGAGATTCCGCCGAAGAGGGCAGGCGCACATACGAGCTATGTCTAAGAATAAACTCCACCCCAAACGTCGTCAATAGACAAATAACATGACTGATCTCAGGCCACAGCCCTTTCCCTACATATTTCTACAACAGGAATCTCGCACATTCAGATCTATGCGTATGTGGGGAGAGAGGTGATCCAGAGCATTGCCTGTTCACGTGCATCATAACAATAAGTCTGCACCCGAGAAGACCAAGTCTAAAACAAGATGCGATTCCGTATGTCAAATGCTCAATCAGTAGTAGCTGTATGAAAAAGCACATAACCCAAATAATGAATCTTCTGGCATCAAGGGGTCCAGAACTCTGCAACACAGAGTGATCCCATCCAAATCATTATGCAAACAGCAACACCTCGGTACCAGAATGGTACCGTGGGCCCCAACTCTGAAGTGTAAGAGGCCTATACCTACTTACTACAGAATACGAGTAATCAAAACATGTAAAGAGATTACAGTATGAGTCAATTGCGATCGTCCTATGTATGGTTCATAAATATCATAAAAATATGATACAAAGTACTGCATAAAATGATAAAATGCGACGAAAAATTAAATAGTAAGGGAAAAAAGTTTTTATTAAATACGTTTACATTATAGATCTCTTAAAAAATTTATGGATAATTTGTTCAGACGATTTATGAACTCCAGTAGATAATGAAATAAAAAATAAAACGATAAATAAATAACCAAACAATTACCAAAATATTTTTGTGTTGTCTTCCTTCTCTCTCGTCACGTTGCAATATCGGTTGCCTTTTTCATATATCCTGGGCAACATTTCTCTGTGTTGAGAGTGTTAAATAATCAATGCGTGCTTTCATTCCCGATTAATTTTTATCGAGGAAGTTTCCGGCCATTAGAAGAGGGAGTAGAAGACCTTGGAAAAACATTCCTCCGGATGTATTAATATCAAGACTAAAAAAAAATAAAATAAGTGTTCTCTCTAACATTAACTGAAGATACACATAACTGGATTCTATAGTGAGTAATTCTAAAATTTAATAGGTTTGGTTGGTTTATGTAATTATGGCAAAGCATGAAAAAAATAGAAAAATGTATACCAACACTGAACACAGCATCGGTAATTCTAAACATATGCTACTATGTTGCTAAGCTAAGACAAAAAAAAGTTACTACTTAAGCTAAGACAAAAAAAAGTGGGTTAGAGGAGTAAGTGCAGCAGCAAACTGATAGACCGCGACCCCAGCGAGAACGTAAAAAACCTTAACAAAACCTTTTAAGCGACCGTTAGCTTAAGTCAAACCGGTGATATTTCTTCGATAGGGTATTGGCAAAAAAATTTTGTGGTAAAGTGGTAGATATTTAAGGATTTTTAGTCAACTTGATTTATCTTGCAGTCTTTTAGAAAACAGCATTTTCAAGATTGGACTGATTCTTCTCTAGAATATTCTAGAAACACTTTCCCTTATCAACTTGCCATTTGGCGAGATTTTAATTCGAAGCTATTGTAATTTCCCCAATCAATTTAGTGTAACATTGTCGTAGACTATAACTTGCATGGATTTAAATAATTAATGATTTGATTAGCCTTTGATAGTGAACGTGTACTGTTCCGCACTACTTTAAGTATCAACTAGTTAGAACCACAAAGACAAAGAGAATATATTACCCTGTCTTACCTTTTACGAAAAGTAAATACAAATTCAGTTGAAGGTTATTTGCTTGTCAGTCTGATAGTTACACAAGCTATTCAGTAACACAAAAAAAACCACTTGCGAGAAAATTTTGAACAAATGCTCAAGTCAAATTTAAATATTAAATACAAAAGTTAAAGCGCTTCAATTATAAGGTATTTCTCTCGCTTTCCTAAAGTGCCTCCGTGATGTAGTAGTTCTGCACGCTGGTCCGGTATTTCAGAGGTCCGTGGTTCAATTCCCGGCAAAGGCGGTTGCTAATTTTTCCTCTCTCCGGCCTTTCCAAATAAACCTAATGTCTCTACCAATAATCAACCTCAAGTCTCACTAATATTATCAACTGCGGCTAGGGAAGCTAAATCTCACATCAATCAGTAGCAGGTGAAGTATCAAGTGATTGATCAAAGAAGGCTGCCAAAGGCTGTTTCTCTGTATTCAAATATTCTGCGCTTAAATACATCACTAATATGCATCCTGGGCTTAACTGAGCGAGTGTAGCGCCCAGCCAAACCTATCATCGTCAATACAATAAACTTCAGCTCAACCAGAGAAATTTTGTAATTATACAGAGTGCCATACACGCTATAGCTTCTCAACGAATAGATCCCCATAATCCTAAATCCTCAAGTGTCTCTAACACAACAACCAGCTTTCATATTCTGGATCAAGCTCACGTTGGTAGCAATCGTAATAAAAGTGGATGCCCTAAAGAAGGCTAAAGTATGCAACACTCCCCGTTCCATGGCCAAGCTCCAACTGACATATACTCCCAAATACAAGTACATTTCAAAAAACATGGCAGCACTTGTGAGATTCCGCCGAAGAGGGCAGGCGCACATACGAGCTATGTCTAAGAATAAACTCCACCCCAAACGTCGTCAATAGACAAATAACAGACTGATCTCAGGCCACAGCCCTTTCCTACATATTTCTACAACAGGAATCTCGCCATTCAGATCTATGCGTATGTGGGGAGAGAGGTGATCCAGAGCATTGCCTGTTCACGTGCATCATAACAATAAGTCTGCACCCGAGAAGACCAGTCTAAAACAAGATGCGATTCCGTATTCAAATGCTCAATCAGTAGTAGCTGTATGAAAAAGCACATAACCCAAATAATGAATCTTCTGGCATCAAGGGGTCCAGAACTCTGCAACACAGAGTGATCCCATCCAAATCATATGCAAACAGCAACCTCGGTACCAGAATGGTACCGTGGGCCCCAACTCTGAAGTGTAAGAGCCTATACCTACTTACTACAAATACGAGTAATCAAAACAGTAAGAGATTACAGTATGAGTCAATTGCGATCGTCCTATGTATGGTTCATAAATATCATAAAAATATGATACAAAGTCTGCATAAAATGATAAATGCGACGAAAAATTAAATAGTAGGGAAAAAAGTTTTTATTAAATACGTTTACATTATAGATCTCTTAAAAATTTATGGATAATTTGTTCAGACGATTTATGAACTCAGTAGATAATGAAATAAAAATAAAACGATAAAATAACCAAACAATTACCAAAATATTTTTGTGTTTTTCCTTCTCTCTCGTCACGTTGCAATATCGGTTGCCTTTTTCATATATCCTGGGCAACATTTCTCTGTGTTGAGAGTGTTAAATAATCAATGCGTGCTTTCATTCCCGATTAATTTTTATCGAGGAAGTTTCCGGCCATTAGAAGAGGGAGTAGAAGACCTTGAAAACCATCCTCCGGATGTATTAATATCAAGACTAAAAAAAAATAAATAAGTGTTCTCTCTAACATTAACTGAAGATACCATAACTGGATTCTATAGTGAGTAATTCTAAAATTTAATAGTTTGGTTGGTTTATGTAAATATGGCAAGATGAAAAAAATAGAAAAATGTATACCAACTGAACACAGCTCGGTAATTCTAACATATGCTACCTATGTTGCAAGCTAAGACAAAAAAGACAAAAAAAAGTGGGTTAGAGGAGTAAGTGCAGCAGCAAACTGATAGACCGCGACCCCAGCGAGAACGTAAAAAACCTTACAAAACCTTTAAGCGACCGTTAGCTTAAGTCAACCGGATATTTTTTCGATAGGGTATTGGCAAAATTTTGTGGTAAAGTGGTAGATATTAGGATTTTTTAGTCAACTTGATTTATCTTGCAGTCTTTTAGAAACAGCATTTCAGATTTGGACTGATTCTCTCTAGAATATTCTAGAACACTTTCCCTTATCAACTTGCCTTTGGCGAGATTTTAATTCGAAGCTATTGTAATTTCCCCATCATTTTAGTGTAACATTGTCTAGACTATAACTTGCATGGATTTAAATAATTAATGATTGATTAGCCTTTGATAAGTGAACGTACTGTTTCCGCACTACTTAAGTATCAACTAGTAGAACCACAAAGACAAAGAGAATATATTCCCTGTCTTACCTTTACAGAAAGTAAATACAAATTCAGTTGAAGTTATTTGCTTGTCATCCTGATAGTTAACAAGCTATTCATACACAAAAAAAACACTTGCGAGAAAATTTTGAACAATGCTCAAGTCAAATTAAATATTAAATCAAAAGTTTAAGCGCTTCAATACAAGTATTCTCTCGCTTTCCAAAGTGCCCCCGTGGTGTAGTAGTTCTGCACGCTGTCCGGTATTTCAGGTCCGTGGTTCAATTCCCGGCAAAGGCGGTTGCTAATTTTTCCTCTCTCCGGCCTTTCCAAATAACCTAATGTCTCTACACAATAAGTGCAGCCAGCCCGTTCGTAGGATTCGACCCTCGGACCGAACTATCAGGGTTCAGCGACTTTACCACTCAGCCGCTGATGGACTCTTAAATTTAATAAATAGCAGGGGAAAACATTTTGATAACTTAAAACAAGACATCGTTCTATTGCTTTATCATAATAGAATTCGACTGCTATACCATAATTAATTAGCCACTTATTGATATTAGAACAAACAACCTAATACGTAACATTAAACCAACTACGATCTGAAAATAGTAGTGAGAACGAAATTAATTGTCCATTTTTTTCTTAAATAATTTAAATTTAACTTCAAAATTCTGGTACTGAGCGTAAAATTTATGTATGGTGATACAGTATAGTACAAATTCTGATGAAAGGAGTGTTAATTAAATAATTAGGTTTCCAGTTTCTGCTGTAGGACCAAGGCCGCCACCAGAACCGCCACAACTTGTGCGTCTGCATGGCGTGACTGAATTTAGAAATGGCAAAATTTTTAAAATTTAGAGAACCCCTGAGCAACAGAATTGAGAAATGACGAGATTTTTTAAAATTTAGAAGAGGCTCTAGGCAGTAGAATTTGGGGGAGAAGGATAAATTTTAGCATTTAAGGATGCACCGCACAGCAGAAATCTGGACCCGCTGCACCGCGCTGCAAAATGACTTGTGCCGGCCCTATGTAGAGCATCGATTACTCGAAATTCCATAAACCGAAACTGAATTTCGAAGCGATGGATTTCGTTAAGCAGAATTTTCGATTTGCCGATTTTTTTTCCGATGTCTTTAGTTTCAGCTTATCGGAGTTCGTTTGTTTCATAGCAAATATTTGTTCAAAAGATAAGGAAAAAAATCTTAAATGATGTTAAGAACTATTCTTATATTATTTTCAGGAGCTTCAGACAGCTAAGCATATTTCCTCTATTCGCGACAAACAGAAAGATAAACGCCCCCTCCCCAAATAACTGACAAAATTTGAAGTACTGAGGTGAAATCATAATAAGCAGTTGCAAAAATTGAGCTCAATTTTCTATCCATATTTACTTTTTAAACATAGTGTAAAATACTAGAATAGAATTAATCGTAATAATTCTGTTTTTATAACCCGATTTCAAAAAACAAAGCAGAAAACTTCTGCACTTTTCGGCTTAATTACATAAATTAATTATTCTTAAAATAGATGCAGAGTCAACGTTGAGTATTTATTCTTGAATCTGTATTCTACGAGAAAGTTAACAGTGGCTCCATCTGTGATTTTAAAAGCAAATTAACGTTTTAGCAAAATTGTGGTGCCATCTTTAATGGAAACCAAAATCGCTCACATCTGCTTTTAATTCATGTGTATAAAGAAATTACAGAGTATGAAAAAATATAAGGAAAA